GTTGTCGCGGCAGTTACGAGCAGTGGCGGCGGCGGCGGCGACGGCGGTGGCGGCGGCGGTGAGGTTTGGAGAGGAGAAGAAATGGTGGAGGTTTTTTTTTGTTGGACAACAAAGGGTTTTTTTTTTTTTTTTTTTGGTTTTTGAATAGATAATTTCTAAAAAAATTTGATATAATTGATATTTTGTATGAAAGGGTGTTTTTGTACTTTTCTTTTTATTTTGGTATTAAAGTAAGAAAAAATTGATAAATATGTACTCAATTTTGGTTTTAAACTTGGTAGTATTCAAGTAAGCAAAAATTGGGATTTAAAATAGTTGCCCCCTTTTATGTATTTTGGTGCATTCAAATGAAAACTTGAATTATTTTCTTAAACTAAGTCGATAATATTTATTCACATATTGTATATGGAAGCTAAAAGAATAAACGTAGGGGTGAAAGTTGGAATGATACATTCATTGTTTATATTCTTCATCTCAAAAAAAATAAAATTGTTTATATTCTTACATATATTATTAATGTATCTTGATTAAATTACAAATAAAAAATTATTTTATTACATATATTTTTGGAAAATTCATTTATTATATATAAACTCACAAATTGAAATAAGATCAAAAAGTTTGGATTGTTGGAAATTTGGTGCATTGTTCCAATTCCAATATGCTACAATTAGAAAAAAAAATCGTAATTTAGAAAAATTGAAATGAAAAAAAAAATATTCTAGAATTGAAAATATGGAATTAAAATTGATGGAGTTTGTAAATTTGTTCCAATTTTAACTCCACTATTAATCTTTTATTTCTTTTGTTATTTCGTATTGTAACTCAATGAATGGGGTTCACTTTGTTAGATTTACTTTCGTACAAATATTATTTATTTGTGTCTAATTCAGTTATTCGTTACTGCTACTCTAAGTGTTCTGACAATTCGTAAAACATGACTAAAAAAACACAACTTTAATGTGGTTGTGATACAATTGTATCCTACATCTACTACGATCCGCAAAAACGAATTTCTACTAATTCAGTTTACGGTTACAACTATAGGAATTATTCAATAAACAATAAACACCCGTTTTGTAGTGGCGTCGTTCGTATAAACCACTCAAATATCGTGTCTTTGAATATGTTAGTTCCTCCACTCCACACGGTTAAGATTTATTTAAGAATTAATAAGAACCCTTTAATTATAGGTGTTATAAATATCGAAAAAATTATAATGAATATTGTTTCAAAATATGGGGCGTCTAAAATTCGTAAAGTTTGGAGGCCCAAGGCAACCGCGCCATTGAAAAGTGCCTTTTATTGACTAGATTGATAACCGTATTTTTGAAGTTTACCGCGTGTTACAGTTTAATTCTACTTATTGTATTTTCATGTGTTGATATTCTTTTTGAAGGCTGCTGCGAATGCGGTAATTAAAAAAGTGAATAAATGGGTTGAGAAGGAAACAAATGGCCTCATAAAAAAAATACTGCCGCGTGATTCAGTTAAGTGTGACACTAGGCTCATCCTCGCTAATGCAGTGTATTTTAAAGGAAAGTGGAAGGAAAAATTTGATGCGTCGCGGACTAAAAAGCAAAAGTTTTTCCTCTTAAACGGAAGCTCGATTAAAGTACCTTTCATGACAAGCCGGAAGACGCAATATATCCGTTATTTTGAGGGTTTTAAGGTTTTGGGGCTCCCATATAAACAAGGTGAAGATAAACGCAGATTCTCAATGTACATATTTCTTCCGGATGCAAAAGATGGATTGCCATCTTTGATAGAAAAAGCCGGCTCCGAATCCGGATTCATTGAAAAACACATCCTTCTTTCGGAAGTCAACGTTGGTAATTTCCTAATTCCAAAATTTAAAATGGAATTCGAATTCGAAGCAACAAAAGTTCTGAAGGAGCTCGGAATGGTGCTTCCCTTTTCAAGTGGTGATCTCACCGAAATGGTGTACCCAACTATAAGTACCGAAGAGAAGAGTTTGTTCGTCTCGAGTATTATCCACAAGGCGTTTGTTGAAGTGAACGAGAAAGGCACGGAAGCTGCAGCGGTTTCGATTGGTGTATTTTCTTTTCAGTGTTCGAGAAGAATTGAGAGGAAATTTGATTTTGTGGCTGACCATCCTTTCATGTTTGTTATAAGAGAAGATGTGAGTGGGATGATACTCTTCATTGGGCAGCTACTTGATCCCTCCGCTAGTTAATTTGCGGCACATGTTAATTTTATTACCTCTTTTGATTTTGTGGTTTGGATTGATAAACATATTGAGTGATTAATATATTGTGGTGGATATGATTTGTAATATAATGATGTTATTTGCACAGACCCCTGTGTAATTTCTAATGGCTAAAACAAACCCTAAGTTAAAAGAATTAGCACATATCACCGTGATGAGAAGTCAAAGTCCATAAAGCCACTGTTAGTCGATCGTGTGCTACTTGCGTCAATTATGTGACTGTGAGTGGGTTTTTTTACCTGAAATACTAAAATACCCTTTCATAAAAATTCAAAAAATACAGATTGACCCCCAAAGAAAAGCCCTCTTTCAATTTAGTCCTTGACTTTTCTAAAAAGCCCTTTTCCCCAAATCTTTTCCGGCGAGCCCATGAGATTGAGAAGGAGAATTATTGGATTTGCAGTTGTTTTTGTATGATGGAATCCATTTTGAGCAAGAGTCGCATCAAAGCTTCGAGTTATAATAACCCGAGTTCTCGGATTGCGTCTTCTCGTCGCCGATTTGGGTTTGAGGTGGGGCCGCCGCCGCCACTGGAGCAGGAATTGGAGCAACAGCCTTGTACGAGGGGATGGGTGTTGCAGACTTGCAGTCGCTGATTTATGAAGAAGACGACTTCTTTTGTTTTGTTTTGTTTTGCTTTTTCTATGATTTATTAATAGGGTGTGCTAAATCCCACACTAAAATTTACTAAATCCCGCACATAAATTAAAAAAAAAATCGTTTCCTACTCATATTCTCTCTAACTTCTTTCTAAGATGATTTTATCCAAGTCACTCAAAATTCATTAATTTTTACGTGAATAATCACAAAAAATGAGTTTAGTTTTAATTAATATTTATTCGATTTCATTAAGTCTATTTAATTATTCAAATTCATATCAATTCGATTTTTTTTCCTCAAATTCCAACTTTATTTTAGTTTGAACATGTGAAGATTTTTGTCAAATTCGAACTTGGAATGCTATGGACGTTTTTAGTGTGTGATTTTGTGAAAAAAGTTAGGGAAAAAGAAGAAGGGTGGCCTGGGAAGAAGAAGAGAAGATTTTAGATAGAGAAATATTTTTAGTTATGTGCATGATTTGGTAAAATTAGTGTAGGATTTAGCATTTCAGTTTATAAATATTCAAATATTTTATTTGTATTTTGTTTGTTCTAACATATTTTAGATAAAAATTGATATAGTCAAGTTATTATAGAACATTTTTAAAATAAGATTAATGAAATAAACAATACTTATAACAGAATATTTAATATGACTTTATTTAAGTTTCTATTATTTTATTTTTGTTTTATCTATGATTTATTAATAATTAATATGTATTTTATTTTATAAAATTCCAATTGAAAGAACTAAACATTAAAAGTTATTAAAAAATATAAACATTTAGAAATTGGCTTTTTTTTAGTGTGGGGAGTTTTTGCTTTACCTTTTTCAGAAGTAGTATAGTCATTTCATTTCAGTTATACCTTTTTCAGAAGTAGTATAGTCATTTCATTTCAGTTAACGAGATTTATTTAAATAAGAGTCGGTGGGCTAAGAGCATCCCCAGTGGGGCTCTCCAAACACATTTTTGTGTCAGAAAATTAGTAATCTCCAAAATTCGGAGAGCATGAGTGCTGCAGTGGGAGGAATTGTGGATCCACGTGGCTCTCCAAATTGGAAGACTCTCTACTGTGCTCGCCACAGTTAACACACAACTTAACAAGCAAATGGTGGGACCATGTGTTCTCTTCCCATTTTTTTATTGTTTTCTTATTTCTTTACATTTCTATTCTTTCAAATAATAATAATAATAAAAAAAAAACAAGCTTTGTCAATCAATGTATTACATTTATGATAATTTCAATAATATTTTTAATATGATAATAAAATGACATAAAGTTAATTAATTCCGTAAAACTGCATTGTACATTTAATTAAAAACTAATTTTAAAATATGTTATGTGGTTAGTATTATTTATGCTAATTCATGTTGTTTATAATTAATTCAGAATATTTTCTTTTGATTATTATTATTTGAAAAGAAAAAAAAGGTTTCATTATTTTGTTTATTATTTATGTACATGTTTTAAAATATAATTAAATTTTAAAAAAACTTTGCAATGTTATAATGTAATTAATTTAAACATTATAAAAGATTAGATAAGATAAGATGACATAATTTAAAAATTAAATTAATAAAGAATCATATCAGATTTACTAATTAAATATATAAATTTTGATTTTTGTTTTAATTTTTATGTTAATAAATGATTGTTATTTGTAAATAGTTCATAACTTTTAACATTGTTTGTTTTTAGTATTTAATATTTTTGATTTTATTACTTACTTATTTGTAATAATTTGGTTTTAAGAATTAATTAAGAATATATCAATTTATAAGAATATTTTATTATACTACATAAATTAAGCTAATTTTATATTACAATGAATAGATAAAATGTCATAAATTAAGCTAATTATATATTGAAAATATACCAATTCGAGGATTACAAAATAAATTACGGATACAAACAGACAAAAGTAAAGAAATTACAACTCACGTATGAAAATAAGACAACATTGAAAAGTACATTATTTAAGCCTCCTCATCTCCAAAGATATTCCACAAATGGTTTGTAAGATCAGATCTCAAGACTACATTGGTTCGGCGATTGCGAATTCGACCAAGACGCGACGAGATGTGAGACACCAGAATAGATGGATCTCGACCCATATTCGGGAGGAAAAATATTTTCTTCTGGCAAAGGTTTCCATACGTCGTATTCAGTTTCTCGTTCATCTTCTATAATCATATTATGAAGGATAATACAAGTTTTCATTATGTCACATGGATCTGTTTTTGACCAATAGCGTACAGGCCCTTGTGTTATGCCCCATCTAATTTGTAACACACCAAATGCACGTTCTACATCTTTTCGGACAGCCTCTTGTTTTCGAGCAAATAATTTTTCTTTTGAAGTGGTAGGATGAGGAATGGTTTGAATGAGAGTTGCATACTTGGGGTAAATACCATCGGTTAAGTAATATCCCATTGTATATGAATGGTCATTCACTGTATAATTAATTGGAGGCGTTCTACCATGTATGAGTTGGTCGAATAGTGGAGAATGATCTAAGACATTAATATCATTATTACCACCTGCCATGCCAAAAAATGAATGCCAAATCCAAAGGTCTTGGGATGCAACTGCTTCTAGAATTAAAGTCGGTTTATGATGGCGGCCTCTATGTGTGCCATGCCAAGCAGTTGGACAATTTTTCCATTCCCAATGCATACAATCTAAAGAACCAAGCATACCTGGAAATCCTCGTGATTCACCTTCTTGAAGTAAACGAGCAATATCATATTCGTTTGGTGAGCGCATGTATTGTTCCTCGTACAATTCAATTATCGAGGAACAAAATATCTTTAATGTCGTTGATGCAGTCGTCTCCCCAATCTTGAAATATTCATCACAATGATCTGCAGAAAATCCATAAGCAAGTATACGAAGTGCAACATTTATTTTTTGAATAGAGGATAGACCAAGGCGGCCAATAGCATCTCTCTTTCGGATGAAGTATGAGTTATGATTTTCAAGATCATTCGAGATACGAAGAAATAACTCTCTACGCATCCTAAAACGCATGCGAAAAAAATCAAGTGGATAAGTGCAATTATCAGAAAAATAGTCATCCCATAATTGCTGATGACTTTTTTTCACGATCACGATTAATATAACGTCGACGGGATGATTGGTCTGTATATGCTTGATGTATTATTGGAATACAATTAAGCATATTTTGAGTCTCTCTCCTCATACAAATGGAAAAAAAGCTCTTCATCCTCTGAGGATGTGGATGAAGAACTTGATGATTGAAACAATGTTGACTCATCTTCTGGAAACCATCCAGATGAACAAGCCATTCTATTTTTTATTTAATAGAACTTTACACATGAAGAAACTATTTATAATGAGTTTAAACTGGTTTGGATGGGGAACAAGGCCATGTGGAAAATCATGGAGTGAATTAATTTCTTGGGAACAAGCCATGTTTTTTTTTGGCAGGGATAAGATGAAGTGCTATCATAGTGGGTGAATTATTTTGTTGCAGATATATGGTTGATAGTGATTAAATTGATTTTTTGCAGCGATAAGATATTGATTAAATTCATTTTTCGGGAAAAGTGTTATCATATTGGCTGAATTATTTTGTTGCAGAGATAATGGTAGATAGTAATTTAATTTTTTGCAGGAATAAGATATTGATTGAATTGATTTTTCGAGAAAAGTTCCATGATTTTTGCAAGGATAAGATATTTATTAAATTGGTTTTTCGGGAAAAGTGTTATCATAGTGGATGAATTATTTTGTTGCAGAGATATGGTTGATAGTGATTAAATTGATTTTTTGCAGGGATAAGATATTGATTAAATTCATTTTTCGGGAAAAGTGTTATCATAGTGGCTGAATTATTTTGTTGCAGATATATTATTTTGTTGCAGAGATAATGGCTGAATTATTTTTCGAGAAAAGTGCCATGATTTTTGCAGGAATAAGATACTTATTAAATTGGTTTATCGGGAAAGTGTTATCATAGTGGATGAATTATTTTGTTGCAGAGTTAATGGTAGATAGCAATTTAATTTTTTGCAGGGATAAGATATTGATTGGATTGATTTTTCCAGAGATAAGATATTGAGTGAATTGTTTTTCGAGAAAAGTGCCATGGTTTTTGCAGGGATAAGATAGTGTGTATATTATTTTTCGGGCTAAGTGTTATGATAATTGGTGGATTATTTTTCTCCACTATAAATAGTAGTCTTATATTGATGATGAAAACTCACAAATTCACCTTCATTTTACATCTAAATCATGGATCCATACAAATATTTCAATCCTAATATGCATCCACTATATAGTCAGCCACCAACACAAAATGAGTCTCAAACATTTAATCCTTATTCTACCAATTCACAATTTTCACAATTTCCATTTAATCCTTTTGTTTTTGCAGGTTCAACTCAAATTCCAACTCAAGAGCAAATGCAAACCCCACACACATCAAGCAAGAAGAGTTCTAGAGGACAAGGACAAAGAGAGCGACAGCCAAACTGGACTATA